CCCCAAAACCCCAAAACCCCAAAACCCCATAGTATCGGGATATTTAATTAAAAAAACTATTTTAGGCAATATAAGAATTAATAAAATTAAGAATGTCACACACAATTTATGGCAGTGGATTAGGATAAAATATTCTGAGTCCAACTTCTCAAGCATTTTTAAAAGGTTAGATGATGCCGAACTCGGGTAGAGGAATTCAGAATAAAGGGAAAAAAAGTTTGATTAATTACAGAGGGGCTCTTAAAAATAATTTCTTTGGAAATAGCTCACAGCCAGAAAATAACATAAGCCATCAAAATATCGTTAACCATAGTAACATGAACTTGAATTCTACTGATATCCATAGCCCAGTCAGTATTGAGCGCTCCTTTCACAAGCAGGTGACTAATGACTAAAATATCCCTCATAGTTCATAGGCAAAGATGGACAAAGGGAAGGTTAAAGGGAACAGAAGATTGCAGTTATTAAGTTTTGACAACAGCTAGAACAGGAATGAAAGTTTAAACAATAATAAGAATAATAACAATAATATCCTCAATAATCAAGGCAAAATTACATAAGTCCAATAGTTCTCAGGTCTCTTCTCTAATATGATGTCTCCAAATGGATCTTCTAATGGATAAATTTCAAACAGACATTCATATAGAGGAATGGAGAGGTTAACAAATCAACAATAGTCGGTAAAATCTAGCTATTCTAAGTAGAGATAGAACAATCAATAATAATTCATGAAGAATCAGTTAATTGAACCAAGCGAGCTATAAAATAAGTATATGCATCAAAATCAGAGAATTCTCAAAATTTCTAATTTACCTTCAGGATACAATTAAATCAAATCAAAGGCAATTTACAGCCCAGTAGCTGGGGTAAACCCAAATATTAATGAATAAATGAAAAACTAAATGTCTTCAGCTAGAAATCACAAAAGATAAGTCTCTCACAATCCTGGTGCTGCCGAATTGCATCAAATATATTCTGCAAGAAATAATGCTACTACAAACAGTAATATATAGAATATGCAAGTTCCATAAGGAGGGTAGAGCTCAACTAAAGACCTAAAATAAACATATTCCTTTCAAAACTTTGAAAAGGAACAAAACAGTACATAAAATACGAATCAACCACAAAACTCAAGTGATGCAAATACATACAGTAATAGTAGTTTATTGAAAGCATAAACAATATATTCCTCTTAAAGTAGTAACCGAAGAAGAAATCTGCCTCTCTAACAAAACAATTAACAGATTAACCAAAGTTTATCCAGCAGTAATCAGACTCAACAAAGTGTATCAAGTGATGGGAAAAAATATGAAAGCGTTCGAGGGAGCTAGGTGGCTAAAAAGAACAGCTTGATAATCCCAGAGGCATCTGAAAGAGATGAACTTACTGTTTAAGATATGGTGGAGACTAAAGATGGTTTAACTTATCCAATGACTCCCGATCAAGCTCTAAAGATGCATGAATCATACCTGACTGACTATGAAAAGACTGAGGTCAAAGAATTTGAAAATATTTATTACCTTTCACCAAAAGAAATGAAATATAACGCATCGAAAGCCGAAAGATTGATTAACAATGGGTTTGATGATAATGACGGTTATTATAGACTACAAAAAGGAGATCATCTTGGTTATAGATATCAAATTCTAGAACAAATCGGAAAGGGAGCATTCGGTTAAGTTATCAAATGTGTTGATCATAAATCAAAATAATTTATAGCTATGAAACTAGTTAAGAATCAGAAAAAGTACTATTATCAGGCTGCTGTTGAAGCAAAACTTTTATTACTTTTAAAAGAAAATGACCCAGAAAATAAAGAGTCTGTAATCAAAATCAAAGATTACTTTGTATTCAGAAATCATCTTTGTATGACATTTGACCTATATGCTCTAAACCTTTACGAATTCATTAAGTTGAATGATTACTAAGGTTTTCAAGAAAGTCTAATAAGAAGATTTGCCATTTAGTTAATGAATGGTCTAAAATATTTAAAGTCACTCGGAATTATTCATTGTGATCTTAAACCAGAAAATGTATTACTTAAGCATAAAGACAAAAGCGGTATAGTCATTGCAGATTTCGGTAGTGGTACGCTAGATGATGAAATAGTATATACCTATATTCAAAGCAGATTCTATCGTGCACCAGAAATCATGCTTGGATTATTTCCTTATACACATGGCATAGATATGTGGAGTATGGGCTGTATTATGATTGAACTCTTTACTGGATTCCCTTTATTTCCTGGAACGAATGAGAGGGAGTAAATGCAATTACTAATTGATGTAATAGGGATGGTACCAAATAATGTGCTGTAAATTGCCTAAAGAAAACATCTATTCAGTCAATTTAAGGATAATGCAGTCCCAGCTCCATCTGTTACAGTTTTAACATAGCAATAAAAGGAAGAAAGGCTTAAGTATATTATGATCAAATTAAGGGAGAGTTCACCTGATGATAGTTTTGTTAATTTTATTGGTTCTTGTTTGGAATGGGATCCATCTAAGAGACTTACTCCAGAGCAAGGATTAAGACATGAATGGATTCTGAAGGGTCTACCTGCAAATGTTTTGCTTTAGCATCAGAGAGTCTAATCGATACCGAATAGTGAACTCCCAACTAGTGCCCGAAATTAACTAAAGCAAGAGCAAGTTAAAAAATCAATAGGCTAATAAAAAATTGGATAGCAACAGCCTTAAAATATATACTCCCCGCAGAGACAGAATGGAACAAATAACACTTAGAATTAAGAAGAAATAATATAGATATAGAACTACAATACCTAAGCTTAATAGAAAGGAATTAATCATAAATAACTTTTAAAGAGACTTATCTAAAAATGATTAGATTCACTCTTTGATAATAATCTATATTATTTAAAAATGCTTTTTGAACTTCTTTATATTTATTGCCTCATGGGGTTTTGGGGTTTTGGGGTTTTGGGG